ATACATAAACATAAATAAAAACATAAACCATACATAGTGTCAAGACCGAAAATGACGTTCTACATTGTAGGTCTTGTTGTTGTCTTTTTGTGATGAAACACTTTGCAGATAGGTACATACCACAACATGATAGAACAGCAACAATGTACGTCGATAATACAACAGAAAAAGAATATCAAGAAAATTTAAAAAACAAAAGCATGATCAGCTTTGAAATGTTTAATCTACCATAATGACAAGCTATTTCTCTAGGTTAGAAAAATGTTCAGACCAATTGCTCAGCCACATTTTTCACACATGAACTTGTAACCACCACGGTTATGATCAAACATGTCATTCATCCTGAAGCTGTAATCGCGGTGGAGTGTTAAGTAATCATTTCCACCATTCCAGTTGTCCGGGTTACTTCCCCACCAGTCAAAAAACTTGACCGGCTCTTTGCTGAACTGGTAGATCCACGTACCCTCAAGTGCTTGGTCAGTTCCAGAAATCAGCAGGCCTGGAGGGTTATCTTTCTTGACCAGGTCCTGGACAAACTTGTATTCGGCTGCGTCGTTGACCTCCACCAAATACATGCCATAGGACAAACACACCTTTTCAGCATGTTCGGGATCCAGGTATTGAAACTTGGAGAGATAATATTTGTGTCCGTTGTAGGTTTCAGGGGGAGAAAACAGGTCACCGATTGGTGTTGGGTATCCATAGTTACAACTTGTAACTGTAGAGAAATAGTAAAATTATGGTTAATAATTTTAAGATTCTTCCGGGATTTTATTCGTAAATCATTAATAAAACAGATGGTCTGTCTACTATAGTGCAAAACTTGTAATTCGTAAACTTTACGACATATGGAACATATCAAAGCCGGAGAAGGCCCTAAAACATTACATTTATAACTTGCCAAAGCCTTAGAAGGCCCTAAAACGTTACATTTATAGCTTACCAAAGCTGTAGAAGGCCCTAAAACATTATATTTATAACTTGCCAAAGCCTTAGAAGGCCCTAAAATATTACGACATTTATAACTTACCAAAGCCGGAGAAGGCCCTAAAACATTACGACATATGGAATTTACCAAAGCCGTAGAAGGCTCTAAAACATTACGACATATGGAATTTACCAAAGCCGTAGAAGGCTCTAAAACATTACGACATATGGAATTTACCAAAGCCGTAGAAGGCCCTAAAACATTACGACATTTATAACTTACCAAAGCCGTAGAAGGCTCTAAAACATTACGACATATGGAATTTACCAAAGCCGTAGAAGGCTCTAAAACATTACGACATATGGAATTTACCAAAGCCGTAGAAGGCTCTAAAACATTACGACATATGGAATTTACCAAAGCCGTAGAAGGCTCTAAAACATTACGACATATGGAATTTACCAAAGCCGTAGAAGGCTCTAAAACATTACGACATATGGAATTTACCAAAGCCGTAGAAGGCTCTAAAACATTACGACATATGGAATTTACCAAAGCCGGAGAAGGTCCTAAAACATTACGACATATGGAATTTACCAAAGCCGGAGAAGGTCCTAAAACATTACGACATATGGAATTTACCAAAGCCGTAGAAGGTCCTAAAACATTACGACATTTATAACTTACCAAACCAGGAGAATGCCCTAAAACATTACGACATCTGGAACTTACTAAAGCTGGAAAAGGCCCTAAAACATTACGACATGTGGAACTTACCAAAGCCGGAGAAGACGTGAAGCAACAGAGCGATGAACAGCAACATGTTGGTCGAATCTCTTCAGGAACAGCCGAGAGGGTGTATCCTAATGGCTGTAAGGGCCGTTTTTTTATAGTAATGTAGCAAATTAGCTATGAATTATGCGTACAATTAACATGTGCACCCGGTGTTTATCACTTAGACTATCAATTGTGATAAACAAAATCCAAAAGGGAATGGACCAGACTAGTCTGATCAGAACAATTTTAACCATAGACAATTTAACATACGTGGCAAGCAACATTTTATCATTAGAGAGTAAACTATTTGAAATCACTTTTAACAACGCTAATATTACATATGTTTAAAGTAAAATATCACTTCAGGTAACTGGAAATCAATCAAACGTTACACAAGTTATCGATATTCGTACCCTATTTATATAAGCCCTTACCCATCTTTTCCCCACAACCCAATGCTTTATGCAAATGGAAGTGGCTGCAATTCAAAGCTACTACATCAAAAGGAATGAGTAATAATTTAGTGTAGGGAAGCAAGTCCCTTATTAGCGTCCCAATAATTGCTTAACGCTGGATACGTATAGGCCAAACGTTATCAACAGTTATAGCATAGAGGATAATTTACCAAATATCTGTAATATGTGTCATAAATATTGATTATATCTTACCTAACCAAGCGTTATATTTACTACATTTTGGTCAAACATTGGTTATTTTGACGTTGATATCTTTGTGGTGTTATTTTTAAATAGGGGTTTTGTGGTAGATTTTAAAATTATTAAGACTAATTCTAACAACCAGCAAATAATGCTGAAAAGAAATGAAATTTTTAACAAAATGATCAAGTTATCAAAAATTTAAAACATTGCCTTGTTTGAACCGATTGTGTAGTCAGGTGCTACCAAATGTTGCGTTGACTCATCCCGAAGTTATGTCTCTAGGTCACATATTACTAACACGTTATCTCTTCTTGGCTCGGTAGACCGATGAGCTTAGCATAGGGGTAAGCTTTTCACACAACAACCTTCAAAACATAGCCATTAAACTGTGAGATGGTCTGCTATCTTTAGCATCAGAGTTAACGTGTGGGTAGTATCGTTAACATCAGTGGTAACTGAGACAGTACATGGTGTTCTCTGGTCACTGAGACAGTACATGGTGCTCTCTGGTCACTGAGACAGTACATGGTGTTCTCTGGTCACTGAGACATGGTGTTCTCTGGTCACCGAGACAGTACATGGTGCTCTCTGGTCACTGAGACAGTACATGGTGTTCTCTGGTCACTGGGACAGTATATGGTGTTCTTTGGTCACTGAGACAGTACATGGTGTTCTATTCTCACTGAGACTTGCAGCTAGTGGTAAATGTAGCCCTACTTGTTTTATTGCTACAGCTAGTGGTAAAGGCAGACCAAAACGTTCCACATGGTACATGTTGTGTGGGAGTTGCTTATACCGTTTCATTGTTGTTCAAAATATATCCTGCATACTAATGTTAAGTTCTAAAAGGCGACTCTTATCTGATTCATCCTTACAATTGTAATTTCTCAACCGTGAAGATACGCGGGATTCTAAATGAAATACGTGCTACACAAGGGATTCACTGTAATATTTTTGCTTAGCGAAAAACATGTAGCGTTTTCGTATATGTGATTTGAAGAATATGATATACAATCAGAAACCTTCGTATAAGATCAAATACTTATATACGAAATTTCACCCACCCAACTGAAATGCTTCTCATGTTATACAGAAAAAGAGTAAAATACCACTTCCGGTAACTGGAAGTCAATCAAAAGTCACTCAAGTTATCGGATATTTGTGCTACTTTTCTATAAGCCCACACTCATCTCCTCCAGACAAACCAAACCGTCAAATTTCTTTTTTTTTTAAATTGCAGGCTCGATTTTTCGCGAGTTTCTAAGGCCCCTCTCAAATCTCTACAGAACAACAAATCACAAAATAATTAAGTATTTAAATTATCTTGTTTAAAAACATTATTTTAAAAACATTTAAAATAATTAAAACACAGACCAGTTCTAACCAACAATTAATTTTTTATTGAAATACTGAAAAGACATTAAAGTTTCAACAAAATATTTATGTCATCTCTAGACTACTAAAACTTAGGTTTGTTTACATGTTTGAATATTTATTTGTTTTTTGTTTGTCTGATTGACTACTGGAGAAAATCTGATCTATGTGTAAGGCTGTAAAATAGTATGCAGGTAGAGAACAAGTTTTGTTTTCAGACAGACTGTTAATCACAAATTTATTTAAAGATGTTAATTAATTTATTGATTTATTAATTGGTAGATTAACCACATTAAATTTAATTTTTTCAAATAATGGCTTTACCTTGACTGAATAGTGACGTCACATGTTTTGTTTACTTTTTAGTACAATAAAAATGGCGACTTCTATCATAGACTTTGTGGTCCATTCAAAAGTTTAACGCGTTCTAAAGCTAATTTTCTGTCGGCCATAACTTTAACATCAGTGTTCAACTGTGGATATTATCTTTAACATCAGTGTTAAAATGTGGATAGTATTTTTAACATCAGTCTTAAATTGAGGATAGTATCTTTAACATCAGTGTTAAATTGTGGATAGTATCTTTAATATCATTGTTAAAATGTTGATAGTATCTTTAACATCAGTGTTAAAATGTAGATATCATCTATAACATCAGTGTTAAATTGTGGATAGTATCTTTAACATCAGTGTTAAACTGTGGGTAGTATCTCTAAAATAGTGGCATTTTTATGCTTGTAATATTCTATGATAGAACTATTAATGAATTTTTTTTATTGTTTTAGTTTTGGTAGATTTCAAGATAAATGTTCTTAAGCTTTTAATATTAACAAAATATACTTTTCAAATTTAATATTTTCAGATTAACGAAAAACACAACTTCTCCGTTAAATATTTTGTACAATATACTGCAAAATGATTATTGTTTGTCAAGTACTACAGTGTCCAAATGCTATTTTATCTTTACAGCAATAATATAGTTTACAATTAACTTGAATGTGTAAGTGAAAACATTTTGGAATTCGTTGATCAAGCCTTTATACTAAATACTTTAAGAAACCGCTTCTTGGCCATTCTGTTAGATTTTATATGGTTAGAGTATTTTCCTTGGCCATCATGTTAATTTTGTTCGATTAAACCTTTTTCTCTTGGCCAAGCAATCTGTTACCTATACGGTAGACTGATTTTTAAAGTGTTTCAGTTTTAGTTTAGACACAATGAGAAACCAGCGGTTGCACACGTTAATTGTATGAATAATTCATACTTAATTTGCTACAACGCTATAAAACCCAGCCCTCACAGCCTTTAGGATACACCCTCTCGGCTGTTCCTGAAGAGATTCGACCAACATGCTGCTGTTCACCGCTCTGTTACTTCACGCTATATCCGGCTTTGGTAAGTTCCAGATGTCGTAATGTTTTAGGACCTTCTCCGGCTTTGGTAGTTCAACATGTCGTAATGTTTTAGAACCTTCTCCGGCTTTGGTAAGTTCAACATGTCGTAATGTTTTAGCGCGTTCTCTGGCTTTGGTAAGTTCAACATGTCGAAATGTTTTAGGGCCGTCTCTCTGGTAAGTTCCAGAGGTCGTAATGATTTAGAACGACATAACCCACCCATACTCCATGATGATAGTGAGCGCGCGTACTACTACTAGATCACGGAGTCAATTATATCAGCCCTTAATTACTCCAAAGTAAAATTTTGCTTTTATTTTTTCAAAATTAAAATAGATTTTTATAATTACAAATTATATTTTAATATGTGTACTTATACGCCTATATGTTCCTTGTATTACTTTCTATGCTATTCGATATGTGATCCCCTACTTTTACAGTTTCTGGTTGTGACTATGGATACTCAACTCCAATCGGTGATCTGTTTGACCCCCCTGCAACTTACAACGGACACACGTATTACCTCTCCAAGTCTTTCTACTTAAACGCTGACCAAGCTCAAAGTGTTTGTTTGTCCTACGGCATGTACTTGGTGGAGGTCAACGACGCAGGCGAATACAAGTTTGTCCAGGACCTTGCCAGAAAAGCTAACCCTGAAGGTCTGCTGATTTCTGGAACTGACATGGCCCAGGAAGGTACATGGACCTTCCAGTTCAGTAAGGAACCGGTCAAGTTTTTAGACTGGTATAAAGGAAACCCTGACAACTATGGCGGGGGAGAAGATTATCTAACCCTGTATCGGCCCTACAACTACCAAATGAATGATGTATTTTATGGTAATCGCGGTGGTTATAAATTCTTGTGTGAAAAATGTGGTTGATCAAAACACATGTTTGTCAAAGGACGTGGTGGATCAAGATAGATGAAATAAAACATGTTATCCATCATAGGCTCTGATTAAAAAAATGATTTTAAAACATATCTCCGATTTTTATTTGACGTTTTTTTTTTAAATTTAAAATGTTTACGTTGACGATTTTTAAAATAGTTTTCTTAATGTTTATGATGAAGAGTTTTAAAGTTTTATTGAACACGTGTTACTGTAGATAAAATATTCTTGAGACACAATCTTAAAAATAAACGTTACTCTACTGTCTAATCGGTATAGTAAGTATGGTTAGTAACGGTTTGGCTGAAAATATCGGCAGTTTTTTTTGTCAATTAAAATTATAGGAATTAAAACACTATTTAGTGAAATATGAAGGGATTTCTCTCATCGGCTTTTTTAAGGAGTCGAAAAATTACTATCATGAAAATTGTGATTGAGATTTACTTTCTCGGTGACCATTAAGTCTTGATACATTAATCCTCGCTATATTAAGTCTCGCTGTATCTTTTCTCGCCATATTAACCCTTTATATACGGAATTAAGTTACGAATGAATTTTTTTTAAACAATTTGTTATTAAGTTGCTTTTGACACACTTATTTGGCACAATTTATTTTTATAAATTTTTAATGGTCCAAATATATATTGGTACTTATAAGTACCGTCAACAATGTAGGACATTTTTCCAAAAAAATAAAAAGTGTATAAAACATGAATAAACTGTAAAATTTATTAACTAATAACATCGCAACAATTATAAAATCATATTTGCAGTTTTCAAACATAAACACAAGACAAAAGTATATTTTTAGTATGATTATTGACTGGATTTTCTATGAATACTCTAAGTAGAACTATTTGGTAATGAATTGAAAGGGAACAATTTTTGTATTTTACTACTATTTGTCGTACTACTACTATCCCGCACTATTATACGCGCATTATCATGATCATTTGGTGCGCAATAGTTTTTAATCATGCAACTATATTGTAAAGAAAAAAAATAAACCGGGAGTGATCTCCCCTAAACTTTCTCGAATATTCTTATATGAAACAACAGGGGATGGCAACTCGGGATATAGACATGATTTTTAATCCATTTTAAATACTAAGACTTAAACTTTTTAAAATTGAATAAAATCTCGTAGAAAAAAAGAATTGCACACCAAGTGAACGCCAAATAAAATGTGCACAATAGTGAGGAATATTATTAGTACCTTATAAATTCACATGCGTTTTTTTCGAGAAATCGGAAATAGCGCAAATCACTACTTCCAGTCGACGGAAATACTCAAAATTTGATAGAAGGCAGAGAATTAGATTTTTAATTTACATGTGAAATTTCATTCCTCTATCTGAAATAGTACTCAAGTTATAGGCTTTTGAATAGTTGAAAGTAGAAAAAGTTCCACTTCCGGTTATCGGAAATCGATAAAACGTTGATACGGATCTACGATTTCGAAAAAAAATACTTATATATAAAATTTCATCAACATAGCTGTAACGGTACTCAAGTTATCGTGTTTACAGACACACACAGACACACGGACAGAATTGGATAATCCAGTTTTTCCAACTCCATTACGCATAAAACGCCAAAATGTTGATAAATCTGGATTTATAATTTTTGCCCGGTCAAAATAAGCCCTCTATATCCCGGATGTGATGAAGGACTGAGGAGTAAAACGGTGAAAACTGTCAAAATTTCATGTGATTTTTTTGCACTATTTCAAGACTTTCTCTATACTCTGTATACGAGAAAGTAATTAAAGTACTGAAAACAAAATGCATAAAAAAGTTTTAATAACAAGCATTTATGTAATTTTCGGATATAAACCACGAGAAGCGGCCATTTCGCACAATGGCAAGTCAATGCAAGCATTGGTGTATATATATATATATATATATATATATATATATATATATATATATATATATATATATATATATATATATATATATATATATATGCTAAAACTCAAGTTTGTTTACATGTTTGAATATTTATGTTTTTTTTTTGTTTGTCTGATTGACTACTGCGCTATGTGCAGAGCTGTAAAATAGTATGTAGGTAGAGAACATTTTTTTTTCGTGACGTCACATGATGTGTTTACTTTTTAGTACAATTTAATGGCGACTTCAATGCAAGATTTAATTGCCGATTCAGATGTTTAACTCGTTCTTAAACTAATTTTCTGTCGGCTATAGTTTTAATGTTACGTCCGTTTGCTGTTTTTATTACGTTCCAACATTTATATAAATTTTCAACTGTCTTTTTCATTTAGTTTTACAATAAATTTCTCTAGCTCTACAATCTGTCCAAGAAAGTTATTTATAGATCTAGATCTAGAATCTAGGTCAAACCAAAGATTTATTAGTTAAAAATACAATCCAAAAAAAAAAAAAAAACTAGACTTAAGCAAACCAGTCGTAGATCTAGAATATAGATAATTCTATCTAGATTTAGATAATAATGAGTTTCTATATACTAAACTATTTTAGACCTTTATTATTTTATATAAATCTTTGTTTGTTTTGCTATGGAATATGTTAATTTGGAAATGCTGAATCTAGGTCCTATTTGCGTAACTTAAGATTCATACGCGGATTCTATACCGCTAATTTTGCAAAAATAGACTTAAATAGACGTAAATTCTAGATCTAGCTCGATGTAAACTATTTCAGGCCTTAATATTTTACTCCATATAAATCTTTGTTTGTTTAGCTATGGAATAGGCTAATTTGGGATAATATTAAATTTGAAATGCACGATCTTGGGCCTATTTGCATAACTAAAGTTTCATACAAGGATTCTATACCGCTAAATTTGCTTAAAATTTATTTATATATCTAAATTTCAGGTGGCCTAGAAAGTTATTTATAGATCTAGACCTAGAATCTAGGTCAAACCAAAGATTAATTATATACAAACCAAAGATTAATTAGATAAAAATACAATCCATTTTATAATCATAATACATTTTTTAGTCCTTAAATACCTGATATAAATCTTTGTGATTTATCTATCTAGATCTGGATCTATCTAGCTAGAATAGGTCTAATGATTAGATCTAGATCTAGCAAGAGTCACGCAAAAACTAGACTTAAGAGACTTAAGCAAACAGTCGTAGAATCTAGATATAGATAATTCTATCTAGATCTAGATAATTTCAGACCTTCATTAATTTATATAAATCTTTGTTTGTTTAGCTATGTAATTGGCTAATATAAGATAAAATTTAATTTAAAAGTTATTACTACTAGACTTAGATCTAGATCTATGCGCGTAAATCAAGTTGCATAAGGAGACTCAAAGTATTAAACTATACTATAAAAACAAGAAATGACGTCACGAGTTAAATAGCTAAGTTGTTAGTGTAATCGGCTTTCATGCGGGTAGCACGGGTTCTAGACACGTCACTTTTTTTTTTGAGATGTGAATGATAAAGTTGCCTATCTGAACCTTGGCGGGATACCAAGCAGAGTTGATCTGTTTCTTTGTCCTAAGCATATGAAGGGTAAGAGACATGCTCGGCTGGAATAGTTTTTTTAAACGATAAAAACATGTTGTCTGAGAATTGGCGGGACACTGGGCAGGTGAAGTAGAGTTGAGTAGGTCACCTGTGACGTCAGTATATGAAGGGATAGTCCGAAATCGGTGTTTTTGGTGTTTTTAAAAGATAAAAACATCTTTTTGAATGTGGGGTCTAGTTTTTTGTGACGATAAGTGACAGACGTGATTTTTTTTATGGATGACCCCTGAACCCCACAGTTATCCAAGGGATGACGGGTAGTCTAGTATATATATATATATATATATATATATATATATATATATATATATATATATATATATATATATATATATATAACAGGCATACTGCCTAGCTTCGCTTAGGTTTTCAAAGGCATTTGAGAATTTGAATACTTAATTATTTAGTGATTGCTGATGTGAGGAGTGCTTAAACTTAAACATTAATGCTAATTTCATAGAAATTGTTGTTGTTGTTTGTTGTTTATAGTCCGTTAGTCCGTTAAGACTATATATATATATTATATGGATATATGCGTGCACGTCCAAGCGCTTTGCCGCTGGTGTAGAAGAAAGTCTAATGAAATATATTAGGACTGTTTCATCGATGCGTAACCTATCGTATATTCTTATACGCGCGCGTGACTTTGTTTTCTAAAACTGAGTTATTTAAGTGTATGTAATGCCTGCGCTTGGATCAGATTCATGAAGGCACGTGTATTCACGTGTAACAGTGCGGTAGAGCACACTTCGGCGACCGGACAGATGCTAGAGACGTAGTGCGGTGCTCACACAGCCCCCGATTATACTACCGCAGGGGCCGGCCATTGTGCCTACTATATTAAAACTCATAAACAGCATTTGCGAGACGATATTGTATAAAGCACAAAAAAGAATATGGATAATTCCTAGCAATAGCCCGTACTTGTTTACCCAAATCTCAACCCACGTTGAATCTTTTTGTTCACGGAACAATTTACCTTTTTGAACAACAAAAAATTACGTGTTTGCGTAGAAGCTTAACAGTATCATACACACAGTTTAATTTTAGAATCAACTTGATCTTCTGCGGGCCATTTAACAACAGAGATGTACCGTACCCGCATGTATTTGCTTAAAGGGTTGGAGTCTTATTTTAGAGTAAAATAAGTGGCATAAGTGGAGCAGTGGCAGATTCAGAAGGTGCTATATAGAGATATACATATACACATACGCTAACTCGTATACACATGCTTGGGTTTTTTTATCGTGTGTATACTGGATGATATCTTTGATTAGGTGATATATATATATATATATATATATATATATATATATATATATATATATATATATATATATATATATATGATCTCAGGACAAATGATCTCAGTACAAATGATTTCAAGGACATATGATCTCACGGACAAAAGATACCTGGACAAAATATACCAGGACAAATAATAACATGGAAAAATGATCTCAGACAAAATATCTCAGACAAAATATCTCACAGCAAAATTTTAATAGTGGATGATTTGAGTGGATATATATATATATATATATATATATACA